GTTCCCCATCTCTTTTTACAGGAACAGTATTTTCAGTCAAGAGCAAATTATGGGCACAAGTAAAATTCAGTCCAACTGTTAAAGTTGAGTGGTTATCCAGGATTATCCATCCAGTTCATAGTACATTTTATCTGAAAGCACTGCATTTTGTAGATTAAAATGATCCGTGTAATCTGACATATTCTGAGAAATAAGGGACATGTTCAAGACCTAAAAGATTAATTCTCCCTCTGTCACCTGTATATAAGTAACATCTAAGTTTGGCCTCCATTGAGACATAAGAAAAATTGAGACCCTGTAAGATTCAGTGCTTTAAGCATTGTTCAGATGTGCCACTTGATGCCACTTCTCTTGCTAGTATACATGCAGAGTTCTATAGACCCCTTCTGTTCTGCAAAAGGGGAATTTGATATGGCAACAAATGAAAAATGAGCTCTGTCTGGTTCCATATGGTACATTCTGGTCTTGCCTGAAATCTGGCATCAAGCACAGTCTATTTCTTTAGCTGAAGTGGCATTCCTGCTTGCAGTCCTGTATGGTGAGAAACTCAAAACCTAACGAGTTGCTGACCTACATTAAAAGTGTGTCGTCATAAATTTTGCACTGATACAGTTTCCATTTCAGCCTGCCACCTGCCACCTAAGCAGTTTAGTACTGGAAAGGGATAGTGCACCTTTTTGTGACCACCACATAGTTGATAAAAGTTAATTATGTTGGCTAACTTCTCCCAGTTCCCTTGTGAAGAAGGAAGTTTTACTTTCATTTGGATAGGGATTGATGACTTTCTGCTGCCACAGCAACAGCTAATAATGTTAAACTTCAGTTGACATACTTTTCTTTATTCCTACAGCAGGAGTAATGGATACACCCTCTAAATAACATTGAGGGTGTAGCTGTTTTGTTCTACAGGACTGTTTTATTTTGCTATTTTTTTTTTTATTTTAAGGTGATGTCTAAAGTGAATGTAACCACTAGATAGCCAGTTATCTTGAATTATAATGTAATAATCCCTGTATTGCCAAAGAGCATGTATTCTGATTTTTTTTTCTAGAAGTAAAGTTAGTATTTTTATTAAAAACTTTTCAAATTAGTTTTCATTTCTCCAACCTGTAATAGCTTTTAACAGTTTTTACCTGTTACAATTAGATTTCATCTTCCTCATATACAATCCCATTTATAGTCCAAATTGGAAACTACTGCTTGGCACTGTTTTAGAAACAAAAACTCCAGTCATCATCAGGACATGGACTTCATTTTTTAACATGGTCCAGCCCTATAATACTAAATCCTAGAACAGTCAGTGGTCCCACACTGAAGGTAACCTGCATCACTTGTAATGTAATCCCTGCTCATGCCTGGTTTGTGTTTGGAGGAAAAAGTTAGCATTTTTGTGGTGAGATGGGCTTTTTGTTATTAAAGGGGGTGGTTGTTTTGAAGCTGTTCAGAGTTTAGGAATGATAGCAATAATCTGGGGAGACTGGTTAGTGGGCTGAGAACAGGTGAGGAGGTCACAGGAACAAAACAATCACTCATTTTGTGCCAGTGCCCTGCTGGTGGTTCAGCTCAAGGGAGATGCTTCAGAAATTACTTACGTGTGTTAGGAGGGCCATCATACTTCTGTGACTTTGCTACTTTATAATCACAAGCTTGCATCTTGTAAGAATTAACTCTCTAGGTTGTTGTTAATTTAAGGGAAAAAAGACAGTTCTGCCAACAAATATTCACAGATTAATTATTTGGTAAAACTTTTGCAAGTTTGCCCTAAAGTAATAAGGTGTTAATATACTTAGAGAGAGGGAGGTTAACAGCTACCTGCATGCTTCCAGGGCATAGATGGCTAACTAGGGCATGTATTTCATTTTACCTGCAGTGCAATCAACTGTACTGATCTGCCTAATTTTCTGAGTCTTTTAAGAAATGCAGGTTTTGTTTTAAGCTTTTTTGCCAGTACTCCTAGAGATAGTCTTAAATGCATAAACCCATGTGTAATTTTAACTGGCATCTTAAACTGAAAATTTTGTGATAGATATTATCTTGGACCTTAAGGCACATAAGGTACAGCACTACTGTTCTAAAGCACTGTATTTCAAGTAAGGAAGAATTTGGATTCTAGATCTGAAGCCCCAAGTTGTTTTCATAGGACTGTCACAGAAATTTATCAGTGAATTGTGGGGGTGAGCTGGCACAATGTTGGAGACTGTGGTGATAAAAGATAGCTCTTGTACACCCATACTTTACAAGGAAAATAATTTTTTGTGAACCTTTGGAATCATCCAACAGAAGTAGCTGAATGTAGATGGTGATCTTGATGGAAGAAGAGGAATAATGACCTGGCTTTTGCTGCAGTAATGGGCTACTGTACTCAGAAGAGTAGTCACTGCACTGACTGTTCACCAGGTGGATTTGTGAAGGTGCCATCTCTCTACAGTCACTGTATTGGCTGTGAATACCCTTCCAGAAACCAGTTGGGAGCTTCTTGTGTTTGGGTCATTTTAAGGACTAACAATCCTGTGCCTCACCAGTCTAAATAACACAGTAAGGCCTGTGCAGCTGTTACAGCTCTGAACATCCTGGGGAGAGAGAGAAGAGGTTGTCACTGGCCAGTTGTGGTCACAGTGTGGAGGTCTCCCAGCTAGCACGCTCCCTATTGCAGGAGGGCACAACAGGAGTGGCTGCCCCCAGATCTCTTCCAAGACCTCTAGTGTGGCAGTGCTCACAGGGGAGGGCAGCTCCCTGTGGCTGGCTGTGGTGTGGGAATCGCAGCTCCCAAGCAGAAACAAAGGACCAAAGTAAAGAAATAGAGAGGGGCCACTTGTGTGAATTCCAAGGTAATTTATTTCCTAGGAGGGTTCAGGGACAAGTAGGCACAGGAATGAGGCGGCAGCACATTATAAAGAGGGGAGGGTATGAGGGGGTGGAAACAACTCACATCCAATGGGGAGATATTGGGGGAGGAGAACAAAGCTGGGACAGCCCAATGAGGGCAATCCAGGGGAAGGGAGCAGGTTCACCAGTCCAGTGAGATACTAGGGAAGGGAATACTATGCAACAGGGAACCTTCAAGAACCAAATGGGGGTGACTACATGACAGATAGGGGAGGTGGGCAACACAGCTTGGATTGACAGAACCATTGAAGGGTACGAGGGGAGGAACAGGGAGATTGGCGCTTTGAGGGACAGTCAAGTGGGGGAAAACTTAGGAGTAAACGACCTGGGAGAAACCAGTGTGAGGGGAAGAGTTAGGGGGCACAAAGAACATACCAACTGAAACTACCTAACATTAAACACCTGACCCTTAAAACAAAATATTGTAAAATCCTTTAAAAACACGCACCACCACATCTCCCCCTTTTTTGTTTTATAAGTTTGAAAAGCAGCTGGGGAGAGGTAGAATTTCAGTCTTTAAACTTCAGTCCCATCGACAGTCCCATCCCATGTCCTCGGGGTTACTATAGCCAGTGCAAATAAGTTATAGGAGAATGCAGAAATAATCTTTCTGAAGTCTTTAAATTTTTTTTCCAGCCCAAAGGACTGTGTAGGATCACTGTATAACTTAGACTGGAAGGGACCACCTCTGGAGCCCACCTAATCTAACACCTGCTTCAAGGAGGTTCAGTTAGGTCAGGTTGCTATTGACCATTTTTTTTAGTGTCCTCTAATTAGTGTAACTTAATGTCACCTGATTGTAGTCTGTCAATGATACATCTTGAAAGTGGACTTGAAAATGAAACCTTGCAAGACATAAAAATGCAATTATAAGCTTGTTTTTACTAACAACCCTTTCCCTCCTCCAGCCTTTATCAGGTATTGTCTTACTCTTTCCAACACTGCTAGGTAAGGTTAATTTGTTAGAGAAGCAATTTTAGGGGCAGTTCTGTAATTGTACTTTGTATGGTACTGCTTGTCTTCAACAGGAGTATAAACTGCAAATATGTTAGTTTATCTGAAAATTGTGCTTAAACTCCTGGTGAAATAACTTTCCAGCTAGTGCATGGTTCACATCTAAAATATGCATAGTATTTTTATTGTGAGATGCAGTGACACAATTTTATACACTAACAACTTCATGACTTAGTATTTTTTTTTGCAAAGCACAACATGAACTTCTTATGTGGAATAACTTAGTTTACTTGGATGAATTAAAGGTGATCACTTTTCATATGCCCTTGAGATAACTGCTACAGAGGCTGAAATATTGAAACAATTCCTTAAACTGCAGACCCCAGAAAGGCATTTTCCTGTGAATCTTGGTCTCAAGGCAGGAGTGTGGCTGTGAATCCATGTCCTTTCTGTGATCTTTAGCATACAGACTAAGCAGAGGACTTCTACCTGCTTCTCTTTCTGCCAGGCTGCTTGGTTACATACTACCTTTTGTTATATGGATCTTTTAGCACTTTTTATTGCTGTCAAGTTCAGCTGAACTGAAGTAAAATACCAGAGAGTAAAGTGACGTGCATATTAACAAAACTCACTTTCTAGAAAAGCCTAGGCTGAAAGCGTATCTAACTACTCTCTTGCATTCTTGTTTTCATGTTTGTTTCTAAGGTTAAGGCACTCTATTGGGTATTAAAACACTCCCCAATTCAGACTTTTAGGTTAGGAATGCCCACTTGAGAGGTATGTGTAAGATTACAATACAGCTCTGAAAATACAGTCTCATATCCAAGATGGTAGGCTTGCAGCAAGAAATTGTATTCTACACAGCTGATAACAGTTGAGAATCAGAAGCCTCTTTTCTCCAAAATGTGGAAGAAGTATGGGGAGTCATTGTAAACAATTAATTCATTCTAAGTGTTGTGCTGGACATAATGTGAAACAAAAATTAGAGTAAATGGAAGAATTAATTTGAGTTTTTCCTCATATTAGTGTTATTTTTTTCATATTATTACTATTATTATTTCCATATTGCTATCGATGCCTTCACTGAACCAACTGGAGGAGGAGTATGCCCTGCAGATTGAATTATTCTGTTTGATACATTGGTACTGTTTCTCTTTCAGATGAAGTGGACTACAGCAATTTCGGGACCAATACACTGTCAAGGAAGAAGAAGGCTCTGGTGACACTGCGCAATGACACCCTCCGCCGACGTCCCCACATCAACATTAGTATGCCTCATGATTTTAGACCAGTGTCTTCCATAATTGATGTGGACATTCTCCCCGAAACACACAGGAGAGTGAGGCTGTATCGACACGGGTGTGAGAAACCCTTGGGGTTTTACATTCGTGATGGCACCAGTGTAAGGGTGACTCCTCACGGACTGGAAAAAGTTCCTGGTATCTTCATCTCCCGTATGGTTCCTGGTGGCTTGGCAGAGAGCACAGGCTTGCTGGCTGTGAATGATGAAGTCCTGGAAGTCAATGGCATTGAAGTAGCAGGAAAGACTCTTGACCAAGTCACAGACATGATGATTGCCAACAGCCATAATCTCATTATCACGGTCAAGCCAGCAAACCAGAGGAACAATATTATTCGGAGCAGCAGGATGTCTGGTAGCTCTGGCCAGTCTACAGACAGCACTGCGAGTCACCATAGCTTGCCTACACCCCATGTGCTGCAGAACTTCCACCCTGATGAAATGGAGAGTGACGAAGAGGCTGACATTGTCATTGAGGGTGGTCTGGAGCCACAACACATTCCTAAACTGCACAGCCTTACTTCCAGTAGCCTCTCTAGAATCAATGGCAGCAGCCTTAGCCACAGACTTCAAAGGGACCTGGTGCTCAACAACAGCTCTGGCCGAGAAAGCAACGGCAACATCCACAAATTACTAAGTTCTTTAAAAACTGATCCCAGACACAGTCTGGTTATCCCCAGGGGAGGTATCGAGGAGGACGGAACAGTCATTACACTTTAGTAGCAATTTCTGCAATTCTCCTTACAGTCTTAAGTGCCAATTGGGACAATCGACTCGTGCAACACATGCACGAAACAGGGAGCTGATATATTCTCACAGACCTCACGGGTGCAGAAAATAGTTGCTTTCTAGGAAATGTGGCATCTGGAGTTAGACATAAAACTGTCATGCACTGCAAAATTTGTCAGGAGAAAGCTAGAGTGCAAAACCTGGTTAATGTCCCAGCCCTGAAGTGAGAACACAAATTTGTTTTAGTTGGTATAAACCTAAGCAGTCTTACAGGCTACCCATAGCAGTGTTATATACTCGGGTTTGAAAGCGTGGGTAGACGTATTTATACATGCATATATATGCATTAGATTTTAATAGTAACAGACATGTCTATTTGAAGTGGAATCTGGTTTTCTTCTAATACCAGCTGAGGAGAGAGTGCTTCTTAATAGTTATCCTGTCTTTTTCTGTTACATACAGCCCTTCTGCCTACTTGTTTACACCATCTTTTCAGCGTTATGTCTAATCCAGACAAGCTCTGTAAAAGCAGCTGTTTCCTATTCCGGAGGTAGCAGCGTTCGGGAGACGCTGCAGACACATTTTCCAAAGGAAACGATAGAAACCCGCATCCATGTAAACCTCGTGTTTCCCGCGGGCCGTGGCCGCGGCTGCCGGGCCATGGGCGCCACCTCCCGGCCGGCGGGGGCACCGCAGCGCCGCTGCCTTCTTGTATTCTCTTACCATATTTATTAGATGATACCTCCTTTTTTTGGTTTGTTTGGTTGTTTTTTTCCCCCTCCCCGCATCATCTCTGTTTTTTCAAAATCGTGGTTCCTGTGGGTTTTTAGGCGTGCAAGTCTCAGAGCTGACACAGGTCCTTGCTGTACGTTTGGGGCAACCCGAATCCGCAAGGTCTTTCCTTGACAAGAGATTGCCCTACGGAGGGGAGGAATGCTGACTGACTCACGGGCGTAACTTAGGATAGTTCTGTTGTTTTGGACTCCTCCAATAATAAAGCTTAATGTCTACACAGGACTTCTAGAAAGTTAAAGTATACTGGATATTTGCGGAGGTCAGACACCTTTGCTGGGTGGCCAGGTGGCTAGTGAGTGACCAGTGACTGTTGAGTCAGTACCTGTCTGCTTCTGGAAACACCATGAGTTTTATGAAAATGGTCTAATCTAAAATATTTTGTTATATCTTGATCAGTGTAAGGAACAAAATATAAATGTTTTAAAATGTATTTTTCTACTTTTAGCTTGTGTCATTTGCTCTTTGTTTTTAACTTTGTAGTACATTAAAGCTTTTTTTATATGGTGGAATAGACATTTCTTAAATATTTTATGAATATGAAAATTCAGGAGTCTTGGTTTGGAAAAATTACATTCCATTTTGGAATCTGTAATGGCTGGAAAAAGGATGTGTGGACTGATTCATTGTCACTAATTTAGAATACCTGTGGAACAACCAGTCTTCTGCTCATGGTTAAATATCTTTGGGACATTGAACTTAGTTTATTTCTTTTAGATTTGCTTTAAGAGTTTATTTTAAAAGTCTTTCACTTACTCTAATTAAAACTTTTCTAGGTATCAAAGCAGCTATAGAGCTGTACTTATTTTTCCCAGCACAGTGAGAATAGAACATTGATCCTGTTCTTAAAACTGTGTTTGTACTTTACCAAAGGTTTTCATTAAAAAAAAATAAATCTGATTATTGGTGCAGTAAAACAAATGAATAGCTGGATATGCTTCAGTCAATCAGACCATCTTATCCAGAAAAAATGTGTTATACCTTAAATAAGACTACTTTTATGAATAAGTGGATTTGTCTGACTGAAGTTACTCATTTTACCTTAGTTAACTGATGAAAATGTGACCTTGTCTGCAATAAAATGTTGACTGTCTTATTTCTACTCTGTATTTTTTCCCAGTGCCTCAAGCATTTTCTATGGAAGTACCTCCCCTCCCTATGAAAACAAGGTGTCCAGTTTGTGTGGCTCTTCAGCTACGCAACTATTTTAGCGCAGTGTCTTTTCTCAGTGCTGCTTTTACAAAAAGTTCCTGTTCTGATTTCCATGGGAACGGAGTAGCTTCCTATCTTCCTCATAGCATGGCCTGCTGCAGACCTCTGGGCTTTGAGGGTAGTTCTGGCTCCATGGAAAAAGGCCGGGATACCTCTGATGGCCACTCTGCACTCCTTTGCCTGCTGGCTGTCACTGTCCATAGAAAGCGCTCTGGTGCAATCTATCCGAACTTTCCACGCCTTCATCGCAGGAGGGAGGAAGCCTAAGTCGTTTCACACACACGTACCCATTACAGAGCAGCCAGGCTACTGATGTGTCCCAACACTTTGTGAAATAAAAGGCTTGCAAACATTTTGTGCAGCATCTTCGTGGGTGAACGAACACACACACAGAGCCCAGCTTCTGTTGTGAGTGCCCCTTAACCGTGGGTGCAGCTATGTGGCACTCGCACAGCGAGCTCCCTGCCCCCTCAGGCCGTGAGGGAGGAATCCGCGTGGGAACGCGGCTGAGCCGCTCAGCCTGTGGGGCTGACCTGCCGAACGGGGCTCGGGTGTGCGGCCGCGGCACCAGCGGCACGCCAGCCTCGCCAAAGCCCACATCCTCGGCAGACGGAGCCCCGCTCCTGTCGCAGCGCCAGGCAGCGCGGCTCGCGGGCGGCGCAGCCCGAGTTCCCCGCAGCCAGCGGCTGCCCGCCCGGGCTCGGGCGCTGCCCGCCCGCCGGGAGCGCGGCTGCGCCGGCCCGCCCCGTCATGTGAGGGGCGGCGCGGCGGCGAGCGCGGAGATGGCGGAGGGCGCCGGCGCTGGGGCGGCTGCAGCCGAGCTGCCGGACGCCGGCCCCGGCGCGGACAGCGGGAATGTGTCCCAGAGCCAAAGCAGAGCCTCCGGCCTCGGGGAGGCGGAGGACGAGGACGCCTCGGAGGCGTCGCTCAGCGCCACCGCCGCCGCCTACTCGGCGTGCCTGCTCGCCGACCGCAGCCTCTTCAGCGAGCAGGTGGGAGCGGGCCGGGGCTCGCACGGCTCCGCACGGCTCCCGGGCACTCGGGAGCGGGCCGGGGCTCCGCACGGCTCCCGGGCACTCGGGAGCGGGCCGGGGCTCCGCACGGCTCCACACGGCTCCGCACGGCTCCCGGGCACTCGGGAGCGGGCCGGGGCTCCGCACGGCTCCGCACGGCTCCGCACGGCTCCCGGGCACTCGGGAGCGGGCCCGGGCTCCGCACGGCTCCACACGGCTCCGCACGGCTCCGCACGGCTCCCACACGGCTCCCACACGGCTCCCACACGGCTCCGCACGTCTCCCACACGGCTCCACACGGCTCCCACACGGCTCCGCACGGCTCCCGGGCACTCGGGAGCGGGCCGGGGCAGGGCAGGGCCAGCCCCGGGGGCGCGTCCCTTGCTGAACGAAGCCGAGAGAGGGAAAAGCCGTGGGATTCCGGTCGGACTGTTTGTAGTCCGACCCGTGTCTCTGCTCGGTGGTCTTGTCTGTGAGACTGGCCGGGGTTTGTGAATGTGGGTGTGTGCGTTTTCAAGCACTTTAAGTGATCTCTGTTTTGCAGATAGAGAGCTTAGACAAGAGTCTGGAAGACTTACTGACCAGGGTGGATGAATTCGTGGGAATGCTGGATATGGTAGGTGTAAGTTGCATGTGGTTGTGTTTTTGAAGGCAGAGTAAACACAGTTGAATAGCTGTTCGTAAGTAAGGTACCGAGAGAAAGAAGCTTTTAGTCAAGGCAGGTTGCAGTTTCAAAACATGTTGGATAATTAGATTACTTATTTTGATAATCAGGTAACTCATGGATGAAAAGTACCAAGCCTTTGTGTTAGAGCAAAATGTCCCAAAGTGCCACATGTTCTAAATACCTCCACCACTTCCCTGGGCAGCCTGCTGAAATGCTTCACAATATTTCCAGTGAAGAAATTTTTCTTAACTGCATATTCGTGTAGTTGTATTCTTGTTTAAAAGAACAGTATGACATTCCACTTATTCTTTAAAATACAATAAAGACATACTTTTTGGTTTTATAATGAAAGTATCTAATCAGAGTTGCCAAACCACCAAAACTAGATTTGTCTTTAGGGGACCCTCTTTTCAGAAAGGCACTTTTGTTTTCACTTTTCTCATGGGGTTATATGGAAGAACCGAATGGAAAGTTCCTGTAAGCTGACGTTGGTTGATAGGCTGTCTTTTAAAGTGAAGCACTATGTGCTTCTCCTTCACAACTCTGTTGTAGGTTTGGGGAGTTTTTTTAAGACCAGAAAATTAAGATTTTTGTGGTCTGACTTTTTTAACAAACCTGAGGAAAAGTACAGGTAGTAAAACTTAAGACAAAATTTTAGCTTAATATATTTAAGTCTTTTATGTGTCTTAGAAAATGTTTCATATCTCTTCAGAAGAGATTGTATTAGCCTATTTTTAATATAAGTATTAAGGTAAATATTAGTCTCTGTAAAATACATTTTCTTCAAAGTTACTTAGAAACTGTACAAAAAAACTATAGTGTATTGATTTTAATCTAGTGTTTTTATACTAATTTATTCCAGTATTTTTAAACTCTAAATATTAGTCTGTTCACTGGGGCACAGTTCCAGTTTCCAGAAAAAAATCTACTAAACATTTTGTTTTATTCATTGATTTTTGTATTATTGTATCGCATTGTCTTTAGATTCGAAGTGATTCCTCTCAAGTTGTCAATGAAAGTATACCTCAAATTTACACAAAAGCTACAGAAATGAGGCAGATATATAGGAAGATTGACAAACTAGAGGTATGTATTTGCTGTCTTGTAGATGCATTGTGTTTCCTAACAGAGGGAAAAAATCAGTGTCTGAATGTTTGTGTGTGTATGTGCACACATGTGGAGTGCGATCAGGTGAGTTGTGCTCTCTGTGTTTGTGCTGGATCAGTACTTCAGGGTTAATAAAGAGGACTACATTTATGAAAAATTTCTGGGGACTGTGGGAATTCCAGACATGTTTTAGATCTTTTTGCGACATATTAAAAAAAAAAAAATTGTTCATTGACTGTGTGAAGCAAGGCAGGCTTTTTGTGTTAATTTCCAAAGTTTCAGAAACAAATAGAATAAGAGATCTCATCATTCCTAATAAAGATTTAAAACTGTGGTTAAGATCCTTGATTTTTCCTTTGGTAGTAGAAAGGCAGGTAGAAGTCTAGATTGTGAAAAATCCAAGTTAGTTATTTGAAAGGTAAATTTGAAAAGGAAGATTATTTTATTATGTTTAACCTGGTTTTCAGCCTTTTAAGTATCTCAGGTAATTTCTATATTTAAAATGGACTTGTAGGCAGAAGGGAAACTGAGCATGAAATTTTTGACGACTCATTTAAGCAAAGGATCTTTCACCACTGTTTTGCAATATGTAATCCTGTTTTATTTTTATAGGGAAACTAATATTTATTTGGGGTTTTTTTTGTTTTTTTTACACCAGGCTTTTGTGAAAATGGTTGGGAATAGTGTAGCTGGACTGGAAGAACGGGTCACAAAGGCAGAAACAGACCTTGGAGCTTTTCCCAGCACGTTCAAGAAAATCTTGCACACAATCAGCATGCCATCCTTCCTTAATGTAAGTAAAGTTTTGCTGCCATGTGACCAGCTTAGTTGCTCTGCTTACTAGACCAGATGATTGAAATAGTAATACGTTTGTTGTACATGTACATTAACGTAGCTGTAAATTTTTAATATACTTTATTAGGATTTTTATAGAGTTTTCAGGCTTCCTTAAAAACAAAAAAGGAAACAACTGAATTTAAAAATTAAGTTTCTTATAAGGATTTGTGTAACACTGCAGAACAAGCCCGAGCACACAAAGAAATGGATGTGAAGGAAGCACAGGCACATAATGCACAAGCTTTTTACTAAAGCACCCTGATCTTGGTGGTATGCAAAGCAAGTAGGAAGAGCCTGTACTGGCAACACTGCTAAAGGATCCTTCTGCATTGATAAAATCACTGCACAAATGTTACCAAAAAAGAAAAGGCTAATCTGCACAGTACTTTAAAAATAAAGGTTATATTTGTATTCAGTCTGCGCAGCGTTAATCATGTTAATGCCTTGGTAAGCTTCCTAAGGATGCAGTTTTCTCCATCTTCCCTTGTGGACTGTTCCTTTACAAAAGGCTTGAAGCACTCTCTCTGGTATATTTCAGAGATGCCTTACCAAACACTGATGTGCTGTTGTGCTTCAGGTTTAAAATAATCTTTTTGGTGTAAAAAAATATCACCTGAATTCCTGATGCTTCTTGACATCACCTGGCAGTACACCATTTGTAAGTTCTACTCTTTTGCATCTTGTCAGCTCACAGATTGTTTTATCTTTTAGTATATACATTCTGTACTAACTCAGTTTTCTGTATTCTGGTAAGGATGATATAAAAAATAGCTCTGTAGAAGGGGAGAGGAAGAAGGTTGTGACTTTTCGAGGTATTTTTGTTTCAACATCTTCCAAGCATGTATGGCAGCAGAGAAAAATACATATAAAAAACATCTGTTAAGGCTCAGTTCAAGGAACTTGTTCTTCACCGCTGTTTACTGTGCAGTCTTTAAGTTAATTAGTCTTTAAGCTAATTTCTCATCTCATTCCTTAATTTTTCTTGGTGTTTAAGTTTAGACTTCTGTCATTTCTTCTTAAAAAAAGCAAACTAAGAAGAACAACACAAAGTTGCACTTTGTTACAAAACAAAAACCTGCACAAGCTGCCTTGAAGAATATTCAACAATATTTTCCATTTTTTTCTATAAAAAATGTTATTAACCAAGGAATTACAGTCTTCACTTGAAAAGTTTGCTAGTTCAAAGGAAGTATTTTTTTAGTGTTGTATGGAAACACTTTGTCAAATTAGCACTTTTTCCACAATTTAAAAGGTGGAAAATCTTTAAAAGTGTCAGAAGGGTGAACCTGGCATCTCCAGTGGTTTCTTACTTTGATTAAGGATAGCAATAAAATAACACTCCGAACTTAGTGGCATTATTTGATTCACTAAGAGGCAAGCTACTCTTCCACAGTGGTTCTGGGTATTGCATAGTATAATACCTACTTCCAGTAGCAAACACAAGCATGTGTGAATGAAAATGCATGTAGAGATTTCTCCACATGCCTGATATTTAACTAGCTTAATACATCAATGGCAAAATACATTTGGAAAAGAAGGTTATTCTGATGTCATGATTGTCACTGTAGCTGTAGTTCACATTTTACTGCTAGTTTTAACTTACTCAGGTACCCTCATTCTCTTCCCATTTAAATGTATCTGTTTCTTTACACAAAGCCTGTATTTTCTGTTTCTCAAGATGTGTATTTATAATCTCCCTTTCAGATTTTGCCCAAAGTTCTTCCCTTGTGAATACCAGGCACTGTAAAGAATAGTACTATAACCTAAGAATGTAGATTCCCAAAAGGTAAAAATGTTTGCTTAGCAGCTGCAAACATAACTGATCATAAATGTGTGGTTAGGCAATTGTGGGTACTGTGCCTGCCTATAAATTTCCTCACTGGATTGAAATTACCCCCTTCTTGCACAGAGGCAAATACAGCACCCTTAAATCCATGTCAGGAGTGACCTTAGTTTCCCGTGCTTGCAGGTTGTTATCTGATAGGACAGTACAGTGTAGGAAAATACTTTAAAAATCAGAACTTGGATTTTGAAGGGGTCTTTTACATTTGGTAGATTTTGTGATATGAAGAATGCTGATAATACACACCATTTATAGATCAGATATTTGTTTATATTTTTAATTTCATTGGAACTTGAATGGCAAAACAAGCTTAGAGAAATTAATGGTATTGTAAAGTTAAAGACATAATGTAATATATCAGCAATTTTGTATATAACAGGAGAATTTGTACTTATGTCACATGGAGTACAAGTATACAGCTCAACTGAGTATTGAGAAATTTTCACTTTGATTTGTAGGTATGGTTACTTATATCTTCATTTTGGTGCTGTAAAACCATCCTAAACTCCAAGGCTATCAAACAATGATATTTGGTGTACTTTTAACTTTTATTATTGGTGAAGGCTAATTTCCTCATTCCAGACTGACGTGGCTCTACGAAATAGTTCATCAGAATCTCTTTATTGGTTGAAAAGAACTTCTAATGAGTGAAATCTTGATTTCAAGCATTCTATTTAATGTCAGGCATTGAAAATATATCCTGTGTCTGCGTTGTGTTGCAGCATTATATACAGGTAGCAAAGCTGACACAGTGGTCACTAGTGGTCCTTGATGTTGTCTCTTTCAATGAGCCATTTGATACAGCAAAACATTGTACAGTTAATATTTAAAAAAAAAACATGTACACTTTCCCTGAAAAACAGCTCTTTTCCAGTCCACTATCAGATTATTTTAAACTGTGTTGTTACATGTAGAAGCTCAGCAGGAGCTGAAGGCCTTCTTGAAAGAATCTTCAAGGACCTTCTTGAAAGAATCATTTGCTAGGTGTGTTTCCATAGGAAGACTTTTCGAGTAACTAAATGAGAACCCAGGCCCAGAGTTGACTCAAAAGAAGTGGCTGAGCAGAATTTGAAGGCTGGAGCAGAAAAGGTAAAGGTGTATGGCTTGGAAAGGATGACTCTCCCATCAGCTGGATGGTGCAGTTTTGCTCCTGCAGTGTTGGCATATTGTACAAGTTCCAGGACTGAGTCTTTTTAGGTGCTGGAATGGCAAAGGTCAAAGGCTGAATTTTTTTACTAACTTTAGGAACATGCCAGACTCATCTGAGCTGTGATTAAGAATTCATTCAACTAAGGAGACATGCCTCAAAACTTTTCTTGTTTTGCATTTTAGCTCTGCAGGCTTTGCTTTAAAATGCTTTATGAAACAGGCGAAAAATAAACTTCTCTAATTTGCAGAAATCGTCTTCCTCACGACAGCAGCAGACCCTCTATGAACCTCCAGTCCTCTTCAAGACAGAAGACTATTTTCCGTGTCTTAATGAAGCACCTTATTGATGGTTTTTGCTTTGGGATTGATATGAATCAGCCAGAATAGAGAGAGCCAAGTGAACAAAAGGAGTACCAACCTCAGAACAGCTGCATTTTCTAAGCACTATTAATGGCATATTGCCATTCTGATTCTCATTGTCTTCCTTCAGGCAATATTTTCAGGTAATCTTTGTGCACATTATTTCAAAAGCTTTCCTAAAACACCACGTAAGTTTTCAGATTATTTTGGGGAAGGAATTTAAGAATATTTTTGCATTACATTTCTTTTTAATATGGAAATAATAGGAAACATACTATTGTATATAAGTTTTTTAACACGTAAATATCTGTGCTGCTGCATGTGTAAATAGTTCTACTACAGGGATGGGGGTTTATTTGTCTTTTTTCATAATGTGCTGATTAAGGTGAAAGAAAAACTATGCCTAAGGTTTCACATCTATTCCAGGGTTTTAAGCCTGGTCCCTGCAGTTTGTACAGAGAAATGCACCACATTGGGATGTACTTGTTGCAAGGGCAGGATGGGAAAGTCATCCAGGAATCAAGGACATGGCTCAGTCCATGAGATTTAGTCCCAGTTCACAAAGCAAACACCCTGCTGCACTGATGATCCTCAGGTCACAGTGACCCAAGCTTTTAATTATTGCATCATTTATTGTTTGATGTGTAACGAGGTGGGCATGAAATAGATTTATATATAGAGAGAGAGCCATAGATGTATAAAAACTTCTGTCAAAAAGAACAAGTATCTAAGTTGAGGGAGGTATGACTCTGGACTGAACCTCCATCAGGTACCTGACCAGACTGCTTTTCCTTCACAACTCTCTGTGGATACTGAGGCTTCCCATGCTGATTGCAATTTATATTATCAATAAACTAATAGCTGGCTAACCCCTGTTGTTGTCTTGCATTTCACCGGACCGTAGTTACCCACCTGGAAGGTGTTAATCATAAATTGATGTAATCCTCTGAACAAGTTGTACCTCTGCTGCTATATTGCCAGTGTAACTCATTAGAATACTCAAAATTCAAGTCTGGGGGGAATGCTTTAGAGAAACAATATTTCTCTAGATTTCATGTTGTGCGCAAAAAACCGGTATGAAGTTCCAGAGCAGAGGTTATATATTAATAGATCATGTCTCCAAAGACCAGCAGGGATTGGGGTCTAAACATCTTCAGTATCTGAAGCAACATTTATTAAAAATTAAAAATTTTCAAGTCAAAGTTAGTGGGCTCCAAAAGCAGTGCTGATGTCAAACTTACCTGAATTTTAACATAGAAAAATAATCACATAAACATGCAGAAAGAAACAGACTTTGAAGAAGGCTCCCCTCCCATCCTCCTTGTTTTCATAAATAATTCATTATTCAGATGTTCCACTGGAGCAACCATTGCATTTCCAAAAGGTGTGGTGCCTTTCAGTGTATGCATAAATAATGCTTGAAGGTTTATCCCTCTCAGTGAGATCTAACAAAATTACACACTTAGTGTAGCAACAGAAGGCTGCAGTTAAGTACTTCTAAACATACTAACACTGGTATGAAAAAAAAAATCTTTAGAGCAACTATCTAATTAAATTAATCACCTTCTCAAATAACTTTGTCCTCTGCGGTGTGGAGCTAAAATGCAGTTTCTTTTAAAGCGATGGTGTTTGAAATAGTAATAAAGATTTCAGTAAGTTCATAGAGCTGAATATTTTCCAGACAATATTGTTCATATTAATAAGAGTGAAAATTCATATATCCTGAAGTGGACATTTTTGTTGAACTGTTGTATGGAAAAAGAAGAGCTGTATCTTCAAGGCACACCACAAACAAAAATCAGACAGTTACTATAATTAGTATAGGGCTATGTTGGAAATTTTCCAAAATACTTTTATTGCTGAAAATAATGGACAATACATGGAAAAATTTTTAAGGAAATGCTATAAAAGACAATAAATGAATTTTGGCTTTTAAAAATACATGTACACAATACCAAGGTCACAGTTCATGTGTTATAAAATTAAGCTCATGGTGATGAAATTAAGACATTCTCATAATACTGACAAAATACACTCTGCCGTTGGTTTGTTTGCACCTTGGCTGTCTCCTTATTCATGGTCAGTCTCACCTCGCAGGAGTAACATAAAAAAACATATCAAGTGCTCACACTCAGTAAAGAAATAATCAGAATATTCATTTATTCTGTCTGTTACCTTATGTTAGTGTATAAACCAGTAATAAGTATATTGTGAATTAGCTTCAATGTTTATTGGGTTTGCCAGCAGTAGACAAAACCTGAATCTCAAAATCCACTGATACCAATATTCACAGTCCCAGAAGGCTCTCCTTGCATCTTTCCCTACACAATGTTTGTCCTCTTGCCTGAGTTCCAAGATACAAGCCAGTGACTATGGGGCTACATCACCTGTTTTTAACATGGAGCTCTTCATATAGAAACGGTGTAAAGCAAGATGTGGTTACTGTACTGAGGTGCTAAAAGTTGGGTATCAGGCACGTGAAATGAGCTAAAGTTTAGTATCAACAAAGGAGTCTACATACACATATTACTTTTCTTCTATGCCATTAAGCAAACATTTTAAAGCAATCCTAGCAAAAGTTACACTAAAAGTTTTTATATTCTTACGTACATTTTAGGCAAATGTTAATTAGCATTAGCCTAATGGTAATTGAAACTAAGATGGCAGCTTTCTATAAATTATCTGTTTTCTGTACAATGTATGTCAATATGTCAAAGAAGCGGCATTCACAAGATATTCGCAGTGAGGTTGTATCACAGTCAGGTTGGACTGAATGTTAGAGGCCTACACTTTTCATAGCCCCTGGACAAAAATCAGCATGATCTGTCTTACATAGATATTTAGTTAAATGATAAACTATGCCTGAAATTGGCACAGAAAGATTGATATTTGTATTTAATTATTTTTGGACCAGCAGATTTTGTTCCAGTCAAGCAGTGCTGCAACTGCAGTAAAGCCCAAAGAAATTACAGAAGGATGAAATGAAAAGAAACAGGTTTGATTATCTGATCAAATAAGATAAATTACTTAAAGGTGCACTGCATTACATTGACATAAAAACCTGTGGCATTTCATTACTTCTGCTGACAATAACCTTCAGGGTTAAGTAGTTTTGCCTACAACACTAAGAATTAAGTAACAAGCTAAAGCTGTTAAGAGTCGTCCTGAGTGAAAGACCTCACAGAATGAGAAGGAAGAGGAAGATAGCTTGCACGTTCGTCTCTGAAAAGAACTTTATATTTGGATTTGGTAAATAATGCTCCCATTAAAAAAAAAAAAAAAAAGGAAAATGTTTCTTAAGCGATTACTTTTTAAAAATTACCTCACTTTTTGTAGAAAAGAAATTGGTCTTTGACCAGCTACCAAGAAAATTCTTGAAAAGCCAAAAACCCTGTCAGATACAGCTATGGTCAAAGAGGACCATAACAGGAATTTGTATTTTTCTAGCCACTGCAGCTAAATCCATCAGGGATGAGGAGTTTCCAGCTGCTGGGATTCCTATCCCTGTAGGAGCTGAGCTGCTGTGGCAGGCTGTGCTGCAGCAGCAGAGCTGAGGCTTAGTCCACTCAGCTGCTTTTGTTGATTCTACTTCAAACCGATGGGTGGTAGTACAACCTAAAGATGGCATTACAGACTCCAGCTGATCTCAGAGATTTTGGGAGTTTTCTTGTCTTTCATGCTTGTTACCTATTCACAAACTCTTTCAATGCTGGCCATTTTTTATGATTTTGAAAAACTGCAAGGGGTATGTGAATGGTTCATGATGTCTTAAAAGTACTAAGGAACAAGCAAAACAGAAAAAAAGGGGACAGAAAGTGTTGCTCATGGACAATACAGTACAATGCCAGGGAGATAGAGTGCAATCACCTATAGATACAAACTGTGAAAAGGAAAAATTGAAAGAATGCCTTTGAAATTATGTTAGACTAAAGGATATGGTAGGGAAACCTAGATAGCCTGTCTAAACCCCACATGAAAGACTCAAAACGATACTTCATTTTTGTCAACTTTAATAATGGTTGTACGTTCTTTGGTGGGCTATTAAAGTGATAAAATATATTAAAATTGCATTGATAATCATTCCAATGTGCAATCTATATGGGATCTTAAATAGTATATTTTAAAAGTATATTGAAAATACAGACATGAATGTGCTGACAGACCTAAAAAAATTAACTGAATATTAGCAGGGATTTAATCAGAGGGTTCAGAGTGAAAAGACAAAGGAACAGAATTCATGTGGGGAAAGTGCACTCAATGAGAAAAGAAGATTCAATTCCTCATCTCCCACTGTTTCAGAAGCTGTAGGTTTCATAAGAATAGCTCAAATGCTTATATTATTTAAAAATAAATTAATTGCCATCCGTTCCTTACAGGTGACACTGTCAGGAGTTTCTTTACAAGCAAGAGGTCTAGAAAAGCAACCTTTAAGAAAAAACAAAAGCAGAAATTTCCACAATCCTAGGACATTAAAACTGTGGACTGGCACTAAATATGACAGAAGCACCTGAGAACTGCAGACTGGCAATAAAGCTGGTTCTGTTTGATTCATAAAAATTAAAAAAGAAAAAAGTAAAAAGGAATAGTAAGAGTCTTATGTACGAATGGAAGAGGAAGAAAATAGCATATCCAGGAGGTAAACCAGGACATGTGCCAAGGTGTGAAATTGTGGTGACAGAGCTGTGAGTATCAACAGAGGAGGGCAAGATCCCTCAACTGGCAGGTAAAAATGGAGATGCACAACAGACATGATGTATATATGTGATGGGTTTTTTTTCACAATTCAGGAGCTTTTTTTTTTCCCTTCAGTGTGCACTTTTCCCAAGTACATAGTTTTAAGAGAGACTGTAACTGTACTAGAACTGTGGGCCAGTTCTAGTGTGTGTCTGGACCAGGCTGCTGTTACTGTCTCTGGTTACTGCGTCTTTCTCAAAAGCAGTAGAACTTGCAGGTAGCTACCCAGGTCATTGGACTGTCCTGGCTAAAAATCAGTTCTGCCAAGACAAACACTCCAGCCCCAGCACTGATGTCCTGGCACAAGGGTGAGGGGTGACACTCCTCTACTCCTGGCTATCCCCCCGAGAAGGCAAGCAAAGCACTTTCCCTGGCAGTGTGTCCTCATGTACAGCTGGGGAGATGCTGCTTTGGAATTAACATCTGTTTCCTTCATGTGTCTTTGATTAGCCCTTTTCTCTACAGGGATGGCTTTGCAATTTGCATGGAATCACAGAGGGAAAGAAGAACAGGAAAGAAATACGGTATTGGGAATAACCTTCTTGTCATTACAGAGATGGCTGTGTGTCCTGCTCAGATGCCTGCTTCCAGCAATATTTTATCAACTAAAATGTGGTGGTTCATCTGCTAGTGATAAGCAGTGCCCTTATTCTTGGTGTCAGGGGTTGCTTTTGTGGAAGTGTGCCCGTTGCATCTAAAACTAAGATCAGAAAACTAAGATGACCCATGTAATTTAAGGCAGAAGCAAATCAGAGGTTTAAACAGTACCACAACTTGCCTTTTTCTTGTTTGTTCTCTAATGATTTCCCTGTATCAGTTGTGCTTTCTTGTCTTGTTCTGAATGTTTAAACTGATGGTTTCCAGGACCTATCAGAGTTGTGTGATCTCATTTATGAGTAACTGCTCAAATTTACTTTCTGACTCATAATGTGTTTCATGTACAAGGATATTTTAATGTAATAGCTAAATCTGTAGCTGTTAAGCAGGAGCTTCTTCCAGTCAGTAGGATGAGGTTTTCCTAAAACAAAGGTTATGTGGATCAGATGTGAAAAGTAGTAGATTGTGAGGCAATGCACAAGAAGGCAAAATATAGGTGCTGCATTGGTCAGTGTATTTGTGTGGAGACACCACTACTGGAAGTCAGCAACTGGCCTAGTTGTCTGACCCCTTTGTGTATTTGTGCTCATCTGGACTGTCATTTACCTTTTCTTATCATTGCTACAGAACAGTGGTCCTGGTAAAATGGTGTTTAAACTCAACCTGAGGTACTGTGCTGAAGCAGAGAGCCCATGAAGCATGCTCCAGATACTGTTCAGCCCACTGCAGCCTTGGAGGAGAGAGGTAACACTTTGAGGAAATGACAAAAACTCCCTTTTCAGTGGTCCCGAATACTTCTTTGTGTCAAGTCTGTCCATGGTACCTTCTTCTCCCCCTCTTTCCCTTAACTCCTCTGTATCCTGAGACTGAGCTGTGTCTTACAGAGCCCCCTTTCTCCCTGGTAGGGTGGAGGGGAAGCACTACGGTCATCTGGACAGGTGGGAAGTGGGATTCCTAGCTCCTGCTTGGAGCTAGTTGAGAGCAACCATGCTGAGAGATTTATTCTTACTGTTTTGTGAAGTGAGAACCCCTGTAGATTGAGCCATGTTGAGGTACATCCCAAGTCCGAAGTGGGCACTTCACTGCCCTGCTCTGGTGATATCAGTGTACTGTTGCTCTCATTTAGATGATTCTGGAGAATCTCAGCTGGGCCTCTCGAGAGAATGGCAGTGCTTGTGCTACACTCCATTGGCCAGCAGTACTCACACATTTTTGTTCCCCAAACCTTTGCTTGGAACCCAGCCCTTGAGACCATTGTTGGTTCCAACCCCCACAGTGTAAGGGGGATTGTAACTAGGTGATCTTTAAGGTCCCTTCCAACCCAAACCATTTTGTAATTCTATGATGATGATGATTAATCACGCGCTACTTTTATCTTGCAGTGTGTAGGAAGAAGTTGAAGTGAATGACTATTCTGCAATCACAGTCTGCTGTTTTCTGTGTGAGAGTTTTGTGGATGTGCCCATCTGATAACAGCATAGTGCTTAGAAAAGAGGTATAGCCTTGCTTGTGCACTCTTCCTCTTTCCATCTCAGTTAGTTTCATTTTCTTCAGCAACTGAGTATTATGGTAAAACATCTCCAACTGTGTTCAAGTTGATTTTTTTGATCTGCTACACCACATGGCTTAATTCACAGGTGAAATGGCAATACCAATATAGAGCCCAGAAGCAAAGCCTGGCATAAGTGCAAGAGGAAGAATATTCTCAATAGTCTACCATCATTTTTTGCCCCATTTCATTTTTTCATTTTTTCAAATAAGCAGTTTTCTTGCTGCCTGATACAGCTTTGTGCATTATTTTTCAGTTTACTTATGATTCTTGTAACTGTACACGATGTTATTCCTGTGTAATGTTTTTGTAGTCATATAAATACTGTTGGTCCTTAGTGTCATTTGTTAAGGGTGTCTGGGGAAAACAGATCTGTTACATTTAGAATTGCTCACAAATTTATTGCCTGCATGGTTTGACTTGTGGAGAAACTGCTCAGTGTTGTATTTAAAAGCAGGATGGGATGCATCCACACCTCCCTGGCAGGGCTGGTGTATGACAGTGTTGTCAAAAGTCTGTTCCAGTCTGTGTGGACACCTAATTGTACCTGATGAATGCCAACTGATGGAATGAACTAATGACTCAAAGCATTGATGATGATAGGCATTTGTATCAACTGAACCCATCAGAGCGTACACGTATGGGAAGGTTCATCTCAGGCTTCCTTCTATGTGTCCGTACCTGCCTGCCAGCAGTTGGGGATCTGCACAGCTGGCTGACTGCTACTTCCTTACTTGCACTGCTGCTGGAACAGAAGTGTGCAGGCTGAAATCCATGATGCTACCAGGGCTCTTGCAGCAGGCACACAGCTGCTGTGGAGCCCTGCTTAGGGGGCTGCCCTTGCCAGATGGAAGGGGGTATTTAGCTGTGTGCAGGCAGAGCTCTGGGAAGACAACAGGTTACTTGGGATCTGCCTGGGGCTCCTTGCTCTATCAAAAAGACATCTGTTTAATCCTGACTTTCTACAGATTTAGCCATATATGGCTGGCTGGTGGAGGGTCCTGGAGGAATATTGAAGGCTGTCAGCACACGGCTGTGAAGACCAAGCTGGATGAGACAGCAGGCAGCAGCAGCAGCAACAGCACAATCCCAGCTGAGCCCAGAAATCCACACTGCCACTTCCAACACTGGCTTTGCCAGGTCCACAGCCCTAGGGCAACCTGTGGGGCACCACAGGAGTGCCTGTGGCTACCCAGGGCTGGTCACATGGGGCAAGCTGGGGCACCAAAGAAAGAAAAAGAGGTGCAGGAAGCTTCCAGAAGAGGCAAGAAACAAAGAAGGGAAATATCTGGTGGCACCAGAGGAGGTTATGAGACTCTGTGCATTAGAGTCAGTCACATCAAGGTAAAGAGAAGTGTCTGATGTGGGCAGATGAAACGGATTTGCTTTGTTAGGAGAAAAGGGAAGATGGAACAGAATGTAGAATGTTTTGTCCTCTGAATAGCCCAGTTAGTTTGACACAAAAATTTCAGCCACAGATTTTCAGGATGTAGATGAAATAGCTCTACTGCTAATGAGTTATCACTAACTTCTTGATTGTAATGATTCATGCACTTCCTTTCAAATTCCATTTTTCCTTCTCATTTGCTCTATAGCCTATTTCCAGAAAGAACATCTATTACACCAGTCTTTACTAGGTAAGTGTTACTTTTCTTAGCCAGTTGTTTCTGTTCTGCTTTCCTTTTAACAGGAACATGAAACAATTAAAAATTAGTCAGTCCACATTGTACCTTTTTTTGCTCTTTTTCCAGAAACATTGAGTAGATGTGGCCATAGGAGGCAACTCCTCTGCATAGGGCATTTCTGTAGCTGTAATGTAGTTTCCAATGTCTACTATTAGCTAATACCCATGTCATCCTAATATTTTCTCTGTGTAAAAGAATCATGTTTTGGAGGTGCTTTGACACATCATAAAGGAAATGGAAAATCCTGTTTGTTACCATTTACATTTGCCTGAAACTGGTAAGAGGATATTAATGGCTTACAGCTTGAAAATTATCACTAGCAATGGCTTTTATTTAATCACTCCTATTATTTTCAAAGGCTTGTTTGAATTCTTAATTATTAGTGTACATACCTCCTCTAAATTTCCATCTGATAATATTCTTTAGTAATATTCTTTAGTGTGGAACTTTCAGGTGATGTTAAAATAATAAAAGAGCCCAGCTCCCTCCTTCCTCTTTGCTTTTGTATGTCTCAGCTTACACTGCTTTCCAGTCTTTGATGAGTCATTACATTTACTTTGTACTGATACTTTTTATGTTTCAGGCTGGAGCATTGATTTTGGTTTCCTTGTTTTCTGATCAGAAATTTTTTTTCCCCCTGTAGATATCACTGGATTTCTGTCAGATCAGAGAAACCCTCTTTTCTAAGCTGTGATCTCACAGGATATGTTATGCAGGTATATCTGGTCACTTTTGAAAATGCTTGGTGCTGTTTCCTACTAGCAGTCCAGGTCCTGAAGTGGTATTGCTTTATAATTCAGCTGAATATTATAAAGATCTAAAACATAAACTGTATAAAATATAACAATCAAATATGAGAATATAAGTGACCATTTCAAATACCAGAGACTCACAGCTATACAAATATAAAATCCCTTTTACTCTTTGTCAAGGCCATAGGGTGGCACTGGCTATTGCTGAGCATTGATGTATGTCCTAGGAGTAGTATAGCCCAGTATTTTAAGTTTAGCAGAGCATTTTCAGAGACCAGGGATCTGATTCATTCAGCCTGGTCCATGGGTTGCTCACTCCTGCAAGCAAGTAAAACAGCAGCTTTTTCCTGATAGGGTTCTGATAGTACCAACTCCAGCTCTCCACCCTCCTCCTCAGCCAACTACTGCCACTTACAGCAGAGAGACCGGGAAGAGATTTCCTTCTGCACCTTCTCTGACTTCCGTCTCATGTTCTGCTGTCTGCCTTGCTGCCAGCAAAGGAAAAGACTGGGCAGCTGTGAAGATGACCGTGGTTTCACACCCTGTGGTTTCCTCCTCTGGGTGGTGATCATTTGTCCTCGTGCCTCTTCTCAATGAACCCATGAGCTGTCAGTGACACTCTCTCAACCCGTGTTTCATCCTGCCAGTGGAACCACCACAGGAGGAGCAGCGTGTTGGTTGCCTTTTCTCACCTGCTGCTGCTACTTGCATAAGAAGAGAAAAACCTAACCCTTGCATCTTTTTATTTTCCTTTACTTACCATGGAGCCAAGCCTGCAGAGCTGGACAAAGGATAATTAAATCCTGATGAGCCAGCAGACTTGGCACAAAACCAAGAAGAACCTTGACATATTGAAAGGCATTGTAAAAAATTGGGAAGCGTTAACCTCAGATGATTTTTGTGATGATGAGAAGATGAAAGTTGGAGACACGTAACAGAATTAGTGTTTGTAGATATGCAGCACTTCTGAAGTTAAATCAAAGTATCATGTTCACTGTAGTTAAAGTGGTTAATATTTGCCAGATTGGCTTGAGGCATTTTGATGTAATGTGAAGATAACAGTGGCTCAGCGTGCTTACACGGATGAAATGAGACGTACTCACGTCCAGTGCTTTTCACAGAAACACACCATCAGCACTGTTTCTCTTTAACCTGCAAAATCTTATTTTACTAATACCTTCTACAGATTATGTTCTAACAGGGCAGGAAGTGATTCATTTTGGACATAGAAATGTAGTTATACTTCAAAGTGCCTTATCACGTTTCTGTTACAACTTTACGTACAGCAAGTGGGTAAAACTTCAACAGCATTTAGCTGTATGAATTAGCTCCGTGGGCTATGCCCATTGTGGTAGCAGAACTATTTGTCAGCAGAATCTCTTCTCACAGCCTACTCTTATCAGAAGACAGATGCGATTACTAACCTAAAATGGTATGTGAAAACATATGTTGTTTTGGAGCTGCTTGGTTACTGCGGAGGATAAATAGCTCGTGACCCTAACCCGGATCTTTTCATAAAAAAAGAGCGGTGTCCCTATGCCTTATAAAGGCATGGGCAGGCTTATTCCAGCGCTCAAGAAGGGGCGGTAGCGAGTTTGTTTTTTTTTTTTTCCCCAGCAGCGGTCGCAAGCGAATGAAGAAGTTGAGCTGAAACTGCGAACACTTCATCCCGGCACTGAGCGGCAAAACTCAGTCAAGAGAGGAGGAAGCAGGTAAAAAAAAAAAAAAAAAAAAAAAAAAACCGAAAAAAAAAAAAAAAAAAGAAACCCACTTGGTCATGGGGAAATCAGGTGAGCAAATGCCTTCGTGCAGGTGGCTGTGTGCTCGCACAAAGTCCGTGTCTGGTTTTGTGCTTGGAAAGCATTGCTAAAGCGTTCAGTGGCTTTCCTCGGAGAAGGCTGCTTTCATTTGTGCATGGTACAGCCTGGGAGGAGCTTTCTCTCTGACAAAGGGTTGGATTGAAAAAAACGGAAAGAAAAGCTACCCCCCTCCTTAGCCTGCACGGTGCAGAGCTAGGTGTATTTCATGTAAAACTTTGTAAAGTTTGTATTTTGTAACCTAAAATACTTTTGCTTTGCTGTAAAAAATTACTACGAATGCTGTAGCTTTAAAGTTATTTTGTGTCTTGCTGTCTGACAAAACTTACTAGCCTTGCAGAAAAGCAGCAGGATGCTTCGAGGGGGGTAAACTTTATCACCCTTCCTGTCGGAAGGATTTAAATGTAAGATTTGGTTACCGTTTAACTGAGAATAGACTTGATCAGCTCCTAAGCCTCTCCCCAGCTGTGCACGTATTCTTTAAGCCTTTTCCTGCTGCTGCTACTGCTGCTGTCTGTGCTGTTGGTTCTTTCCCCACTGCTGCTGGCTGTCTGTGTGCTCTGCTCAGTTTAGGCTGGAGAGACTTCTCCAAAGTTGCCAAGGAGCCAGAGACCTTAAGAGGAGAGTGCTTAGTGCCCTGGATTTTCTCCATCTTTGTCCTGTTAAGGCCACGAGTGAAAAACTGTCCTGAATTTCTGAAACAGCTGTGAAACTGGATGGGACTATTTGTTCTTGTTCTTAGGGTATTGTTTCTGTGACAAATAAGAGCCTGGTGGCATGTTGTCTCTCTGTCCTCTGTGTGAACAGCACATACGGGGACATGCTCAGCAAAATTTAGTATTTGAATGAGTCAAAACTATAGGCCTCTTCAGAGAAATTTAAGGAAAATCTTTGTGTGAGTAACACTTTAAAGGGCCTCAGCATGGGTGTTTTGGATTTTTTCCCTTTTTCTTTATTTTTAAAGGTCAGCTTGCTTGATGAGATCAGAGCTGTCTGCAGATGTGACTGTAAAGGGCTTACTGGTATGACACCCAGTCCAGACAAACCACCTGCTTTTTTTTTAGCAAAGTCCAGCTGCCAGTGGGGGGGTTGGCCTCATATCCTGGCAGCTAGATTGGGATAAATAACCCTATAACAATTTAAGTAAGTGTAGTTGCTGTGAAATATCAAGCTCAGCACTTACCATGCTAAAAAGTACAAATACCAAATCAGTGTCGTGCCTATACATTACATTAGAAAACCGCATTGGGCAAAAGCAATAGAGATACTCCACTGTGCACCTCACAGTTTCCAAAGGAATAAAAATCTTCTTTTATTTTAATGGATGAAAATTGCTAAAACAGTCATAAAGCAATTACCATCTTCATTTTTCCCCCTGCACATTTATTGCTGTGCATTAGTTGATTTTTACAAACTTAGGAACAATGGCAGACCAGAAACTTCCTTTGCCAAGGCTTGGGTAATATTTGCATCCTTAAGTGGTTATACAAATAGAGCTTAAAATCTAGGTGCATGTTAAGAATGCTTTCTAACTACTTGTGTAATGCAAACCAATGTTAAACTAGTTCCAGGTTATTGTCTTTGAGCTGCATGCAATATTTTTAGATGAATCATAAAACTGAGATCCTGTCCTGACAATTGGTTTATAGACTAGATCCCATCTGCCCTTTCCAGTTCACTGAAGTGTTAAAATTCTTGTCTGAGATCATTCAATGTGGTTTGCCTTTGAATGGGGAGAACAGTTGTTGTACAGAGTACTGCTTCCTCTGTGTTTCATGTGAAATACAAAATATGTTCCCACTCTAGTACTCATAAGGTATGATGCAGACAAATTTCTCTGCACTAGGGTACATGGACATGTAACTGGTTGACCTCAGTACAGATTCCTTACTCCTCTCCTGGGTCAGAAAGGTTAAGGCAGAGATTACCTGAAGTTTTAATTTAAGGATGCTCTAATTCATGACAAGCGGGACTACTACTTTAATATAAATTAAATGAGCAGTTTCTTTAACCTCTTGATTTTGGTAAATCTGTCTTGAGGTCTAAATATCACCATGCAAAAAAAAAACTTGGCATTGGAAATCTCAGTTCTTTGGTAAAAACTCTCCAATAGTGTTGTATTAGTAGTTATTAGATTATATTTGAAGCCATCTTCATTCCAAGTGTCAGAGCTAGAGACTTAGCATTGCTGTGTTTCATTGCAAAGAGCTGAGTGTTGAAAGTATCGGCTCCTCTGACTCAGCTTTCTTCCCTGGAAGCTGCAGGCTGGCGAAACCAAATTCGTACTGAAACTTCCTTGTCAGGGTTAGAAAATGCCTCCCGTGGTCATAACCCCTGCAAAGACTTAAGCCAAATACAGAGACCCCCTCTGCCCTCCCCAAGGTCTTTTCAGACACCATTTGGATTAGTGGGGGTGCAGGCAGCCGTCCCACAGATCGCAGAGAGCTCTAAGCAAAAAGACAAGGATAGTATTTCTGCAGGAAAGGGGGAGATGGAGAGCTGGCAGCTCTCTGCTGCCCTGCTGCTGGGAGTGCCGTGCCGGCAGGGCTCTGACCCGGCGCAGCTGTGCGCGGCCGGGGGCGGGGGGCAGCCCTGGCCCCGCCGGGGATATCCATCCCTGCCGGCAGCTGCAGGCGATGATCGGGAAAGCAGCTGCCTGCGAGCTCCACTCCTCCGCTCTGGAGCACGTGGATTTCTGCTGAGCAGTGGGAGTCTCTGATCAGGCTGGGACGGTGGTAGGAAAGGCTGCTAAAAGTCTTATTTCTCCCACTTCCCCCTGGGTTCAACCTCGTGGGGGAAGGGAGCTTTCCCCACTTGCTCCCTACGGGGGAATAGCTCTCTTTATTCTGGCAAGTGTGTGCAGAAGCTGTCAATATCAGGTTTAGTAAATACTGCAATTATTTTACAGAATTTGGTTTTCTTTTTAGAGTTTTGTTTTATTTTTCTGCTGGTTTTCCTTTTTTCTCCCACTTCTGCAAATGTGGGCGGGACTCCATAGAAAGGGCTGGGAGGTACCCACTGCTCTGCATATTGAGTCAGTACAAAAAAAGACAAAGAGGGGCTGAGAAAGAGTTTTAAGAAAAAGAAGAGACAGGAGCCAGACTAAATACAATTTTCCATGCTGGTTTTAATTTCATTTAGAAGCATGTGCTGTTTTTAACTCTTAAGGTGCATTTTCAGAGTACAGTAAAAGGACTGTTGTGTTTTCTGCAGAATGAGCTACATCTTCAGCTGAAATGCTGACTTTTACTTCAGCATCCTGGTAAGAGGCAGTCATGGCAGGTCATGAGAAAAATACAGGCATACTAGACAAGTGACCTGTTTGCTTTCTGAGAAATTAGATACTCCCAAGTTGCCAAAATGAGAAAGAGTTGTGCTGGTTGGTTTTACAGGACTGGTGGGGATAAGGAAGATGGATTGTTCTGAACTGCTAGAAACTGAGCTTTTGCATTTGGTAACATTAGGACATTTGCAGAACTTGCCAACACAAGTTACTGTCTTTTTCTTTACACCAGAGCTGAACTGGACATGTGGTGGAAAGATGACTTTTCAAAACCAAGTGTAATTCAATTCATAGCTCCTCATCTCCAGTTGCTGTGTGCAGAAGGCGTTGGTTGCCAGGTTCAAGTTCAATAAGGATAAAAAATAGTTCAGTAGGATAAAAAAAATTCTTCCAGGAATGTGTCAGGCTTTGACAGTATTCTGGGCCAAATTTTTACCTGTCTGTTTCATCATCAGGGTTTTGATGGGGGAGGAGGAATGCAGCAGCCACCCCTTACAACAGTGGTTGCTTCTGTCAGCTGTTAGATTATACCCTTAACACCTCATGCTCAAGGCAGATAAATACCAAAACAAGTGTGTAGGGTTCAGGAAGAATAAGATAGAATGTGATGATCTGTAGTAACTGAGATACCTACCAAGGTTTCCAATACTATTGTGTTGTGCATTAAAAGAAAAAAAAAAAGACATTAAGAAATGTTTTATTACTGGAAACATGCAAACCCTGCATTTTCTATCAGTATGGTTGGTAGTGTCTGTCTTGCCTGGTTTGAATTTGTTTCTGTTGCTGCTCTATGTTCAGGAACAAAAAGTATGCGAAAACAAGTATTTTGATTTTAACTGTTTGGTTGCTCATTATTTATCTCAACAGGCCAGAAGGCTATGTCAGATCTCTTTTTCTGTAGAGGCTGTGCTGTTCTCTGAAAGATAAATTGGAGCCTATCTCTGTTCTGTTCTTACAGGCACATGTAGGCAAGTTCTGCCCAGTCTGTGAAGGTCTGAACAGCAGCCAGAGCTGGGCTGGTTGGCCCTGCAGAGGGGGATAGGGTGAGGCCGAATCTCCCTGATGCAGAACTGGCTCCTGTGCAAGTAGGTGTTAGAAAGTGGTAGGAATCTGGGGTGTTGTGTAGCAAGACAATATGGGCCTGTTTAGGTCACTGTAAACATCATTTAATGTATCCCTGTGTTCAAGGTCAGGTCAGATGAGGCTCTGAGCAACAAGGTATAGTTGAAGGTGTCCCTGCTCAGTGCAGGAGAATTGGACTAGGTGACCTTCAAAGGTCTCTTTCAATCCAAACTATTCTATTATTCTGCGATTCTATAAAATAAATACCTTTTTAAAAATATTTTGAATTGCAAGAGCTGGAGTTTAGCCTGTTGAGCAGAGGGGTGAAAAACAGGTGATGTAATTGATAGTAAATGTGAGTAAAGAAAGATTTCTGTGCCTCCCTGCCTGGCTTTGGGTACTGGATAGGTGAGTTCACACACATCAGTGATCAGAAGAAATGTGCATGGCCATATTTCCATGCCTCAGGGAGGTGCATAAGTAAACATACTTTGAGCATTGCCAGAGCTATCTTGGATGTCCTTGGCAGAAAAGCAATGTGGGAGGATATTT